TGGATCTCTCTCTGTGCCTTCTGTGTCTGTCCCCATGGGGCTTGAATTCCCCACAGCAGAGATGGTGGCAAGCTCATTGTGGTCTCAGGTACAGCACCTGCCTGGTGTCCAGCAGGTGCCTGAGGAACTGACGGGGCCTCTCTTGGTTTATCCCTTGGAGGGCACTGTGTGGTGTTGTGCCTGGCGTGGAGGAGGCAGGATCCCACAAGAAGTAGACTCGCAGTTACCAGATGCTCAGGGTGGGCAAAGAGCTCTGCAGCCTCATGAGCTTCCTTGGCCACCGTGAACTTGGCCAAACGTTGTTCCTGACCACCCCAGGCCGCTGGATGAAGGTCAGAAACACAGGAGACCTGTAACTGCCGAGAAATGACCTGAACTGGGAAGGGGCTGGTCGTTTTCAAGTTCAGTCCTAGGAGAACGCACCCTCAGCTGCTTGAGACCCAGAGTCCAGGGGACCTCTTTCCCCTGGGGTCCCTGACAAGCCATCAGGACCTGACCAGGGCCTGTGCAGGGTCTCAGTGGGGTTTGCAAGCTCTCTTGGGGACTTAGAAAGGCCTGGCAGGTTCTGTGTACGAGGAGTTGTGTGTCCCAGTCAGATGTATGAGTGGCCATGTGCGTCCTGTTTAATAAAACCATGGGCAGAGTTGCCACATCCCCTCACCCAGCACCTGGCTTGGTCCACTTGTTAAGTGTCCCTCGATTCTCTTAGTGTTTTAGGGGGGAGACGTGTGGAGAATGAGCAGAAATAGGGGACTGTGAAGGAAATGACAAATAGCTTCCCTTCCATACAGCCTCCCTGGGGGACGCCAGACCTGAGGATGAGGTGGAGATGTGGGGTACAGCCACCACCTGGTGGTCAGATGGGGACACAACACTTGGGACAGCTGCACAGGGAGGAGAAGCTGGACCCTCTGCACTGCAGACCAGCCACTTCTCTGGGAAGCATTAGGGAAGGGCAGGGGTCCTCAGTGTTCCCATTCTGTGATGTCAAGGTAGCAAGGGGCCCCATGGGCCACAGTGAGGGTGAAGGAAGTGGGCCATGCCACAGGATGCTCCGCCCTTACCCTGGGCCCTCTGTGGCTGGCCTGCCTAGCCATGCAGGGACCAGTAGCAGGTGGTTGAGCATGTGGACAGTGCATTACCTGCTGTGGCCTGATTGGTGTGACTGCCCCTCAATAGCTGGCTGGTCCCCTGGGGGCTTTGGAAGAACTATGGAAACTGAAGACCCTCTCAGACTTATTTTTAAGACCAGGAAGCTTCTGAAATGTCCTTTTTCTGATGGCTTATTGATGGGAGTCACCCTTCTCTAGGAAGGGTAAAACACAAAAACTTCATTGGGGGGGGGGCAGAGAGTCCCATTTATTAAGGGGCTAGATTAAGAATTAATTAAGACACATGTTAAATTATCATAACAACTCTGCTAGAGTTGTTATGATCAGAGGATTTTTCTGTTTACAAATAAGGAAACTGAGGCTAGTAAGATAACAGAAAATTCTAGAATGGAAGCAAGGGCCCTATGCCCTAGATGTGGTGTGGCACGTGCTGAGGAATTTTCCCTGTGGGTGGTGTTATCAGGGACTTAATTCTTCAGAGTTGGGGAGGGGTCCCTCTACAGCCCCACCTCTGCCACCCCAGGGCATCCCTCCACCCATGTCTAACCTGCACTTCTGTGTTGGGGCAAGGGTGGGGAGCAGCAGGATCCTGGCCCTTGAACTGATAAGAGCAGCCCTGACACCTGTCCCAAGGACAGTCAGTCCATTGGCTGGCCAGAGGAAAGCCAGGCCCAGTAGGAAGGGCAGTCTTCAGGTCATCACGGTCCTGGGGGTCAAGGGGAGCTTGCCCTCCAGAGAGAAAGAGGATCTGTGGAGCAGGAAGACTCTGCACACGGCACCAGAGAGGCCGAAGCAGAGAGCAGACAAGTGCACAGAAGCAGCGCCCAGAGCAGAGCGTGTCTAGGACCCAGGTGGCCCAACCCCTCTGTGGGAGCTGAATTTGGTACCTGTACATGTGCTCATTTAGCACTTGTTCTATGTATGTCTGTCTCACAGAGGAGGAAACTGAGGCACAGAGAGATTGTGCAGATAGCCCAGGGTCACACAGTGAGTGCATGCTGAGCTGGGGTTTGAGTCCTAGCAGACTGGCCTCAGAGTCACTACCCTTGATGACCATGTCACAAGGACGTGTGTGAGCTGCTGGAGGCCCTGTGCACTCAGAGCTGATGCAGGGTCATTAGAACTGCCCCACAATCCTCATTCTAGTCCCTCTTCCCAGTGGGACCACTTACAAGGGGCCAAGCCCACCTGTCACACCTGCCCCTGGCACCTGGTCCAGCTGGGTACTCAGCCACCACCATCTCTGAGCCCCTGAGACCAGAGACAGCCTGTGTTTGTCACAGCTACTTAAGTCCACATCCTGTCTGTCACTCTGAACCCACCCCCACCTGCTTGGTACAGAAAGAGCACAGGCTTGGGGTCAGCCAGAGCTGAGTCCCCATTCTGTCCTCACTGGTCTGGGTCAAGGCAGCCTACCCCAGCGCCTGGCCTCAGTTGTGTCTGCTGACCAGCGTCTGCCCTCAGGGAGGAACCCTGTACACCCAGGGCTGTGTGCTGTGTGCTATGCTGGGGACCCTTTGTTAGTAAGGTGACCTCCTTACCATTCCCAATGTGACCATGGATGGGGGAGGGGCGAACGTATCCATGCTTTCTGTGCATCTCATAAAATGAGTGTAAAGTTGTTTTTTTTGGATTTGTTAGTCCAGTATCTACTTATATGTCAAAACTGATCCCAAAGGTAGTGGCTTCAAACAACAGCAGGGACATTGGTTTGGCTATCCATCTGACGCGGGGGCCTGGCTCAGTCCCCTCTCTCCCCTCATTTCTGTCCTGTTCCCTGGCGGAACCCTTGAGTTTACTCTCAAAAATAAACATCAGGAAAGGAAGGTGTCTAGGGGCTCCTTTGCTCCCATCTGCCCTGTGACCTGCACCCTCCAGCCGCGGGGACACCCACAACTGACTTTCCTGGAAACAAAAGAATCCTGGGGATGAAGCCTCCAGAAGTCACTCTACTCCACCGGCTTCGCGTATAGGCTCCGGGGCTGGCTCTGCTAGAGGGTCCCCAGGCCCACCGAGGACACCTGACTCTTCCAGACTGGGCCTTGGTGACATCACCCTGGGAACTGGGGATTTCAGGGGTGTCCCTCCCATTGAGCCAGCTGCCAACATTCATCATCAGCACAGCGTGAACCGTGGCTGGGAGCAGCAGAAACGGCCCACATTCAGAGTCGAGATAGATAGAGCCAGCGAGAGTCCCTGTCCTTTCTCAGGTTTATTTTATTAAAATAGACAGGACAGAATGTGGGTGGGTGCTGGGAACAGGGGCCACCAGGCCGTGCCCAAGGGAGGCGCTTCTGCCATGCAGACATGCCGCAGCCTGCGTCCCAGCGTGGGAGACAGACCCCTCCTGGCGGACGTGCAGCCACGAGGCCAAAGGGGCAAGGGCACGGCGGTGACCCTCTCCTGTGGCCTCGGCCCCTACAAGCACAGCCACACCAGCTAGAAGGGCCGGGCCGGGGAGGGGAGGGATCCCTGAGCCAGGGAAGCAGATGCCCTCCTGAAGGGGAAGGGACCCCAGTCAGACGGGAGACAGGGTGTCAGTGCAACTCTGAGGGCGAGGCCCACCTTTCCTCTGAGGGCCCTGCTCACCCTGGGCCAGCCTCCTGGGGACACCCAGGGACTCCTGGAGCCAGGCCTGAGCCGAGGGGGCAGCAGCCGTTGGATGGAATGTATCGTGTGGGAATGTCCCTGGAGGCCCGTGCTGCCCAGGACAGGGCTCTTACTCAGGGAGGCCCGGGCAGGTGGGAGCAGCCTCTCTCTTCCTGAAGGTTCTGTCAACCGGCCACCGACTCCCAGTGCTCCAGGCTGGCCCCTGCCTTGCTGACAAGCCTCATCCCCAGGGCAGAGCCCAGCCCAGCCCAGCGGAGTCCCTGGGATTGTGCTTTTGAGTGTTGGTGAGCTGTGCTGGGAATGGGCTTCAAGACCCCATGGCTCTGAGGCACAGAGGGGACCCCTGAGTTGGTTCCCCAGAGCCGCCCTCATCCAGGCTGCTGGGACCCAGAGCTCAGCGTGCCAGGAGCGCCTGGCCTCCAAAAGCAGAGTGTCCTTGGCTCCCCTTGGGGTGGCCTGAGCCGCAGGGTGCTTGTGCTTTGTGTACAGGGCCGGGTGAGGGTGGCCACAGAGCTCCAGTGGGGCGCGCAGCCAAGCTGCCGGGCCAGGGGGCAGGGGCAGCAGGAGAGGAGGGAAGTCCCTGCCCAACCTCTCCCAGCACGTCCGTTCCCTGGCTGCCAGTCCCTGAGCCACATGACTCCCCCAGGACGTGAGGACTGAGGGGAGAACAGCCTGGTGCGGGGACGATGGGCACCCACTGCGTTCCCGTCCAGACAGGAATGGGTTCAGGGAAGCTTCTTCCTGCCTGGTGGAGGGGACAGACAGTTCCCCCCTCTGACACGCCAAGAAGCAACCCCCAGGCAAGAGCCCCAGCTGCTTCCTGGCATGGAGGAGAGCGAGGCCAGGGCCCTCACACCGGAGCTAGCCTCACAGTGGGTGGCCTGGCACAGCCCCAGCTCCTCCAGGTGGGTGGAATGACAGGGTCTCAGGATCTCAGGGAAGTGGTTCTAGAAAGCTGCAGGCCCCGCCCCCCCTGGCCATCTCTTCCCTAGCTAGAGCCCCTCCCCATCAGCTGGCTCTCCAGGGTCCTGCAGTGAGGCTTTCTGGGAGGCCAGGAGTGTCTGGGGGAGGCCAGAGGAATACTGGGGCCAGGCCCCTAGGAGGCGGGCTGGGGGAGGTCTCAGGGGCTCACAGGGGTTTTGCTTTGGAGACCAGGCTGCCCATGCCCAAGGCTCTTAAGGACACTGGCTGGTGGGGGCTGAGCCCCTCCTGACTCCACCACCCTCTGCCAGCCCAAATGAACCGTGTGTGTGTGTGTGTGTGTGTGTGTGTGTGTGTGGAGTACACTGCTCACTTTTTGCAAATATATTACAAAAAACTTTGTCATGGAGGCTGCTCCTGGCAGGATTGAGGTTTCCTGGGGGTGAAGTGGCGGCAGCCACCCAGGTTTTCTCCCACACTTCCTAGATGACGTTCTCAAACAGCTGCATGGAGCTCATGATGTTCTCATCCTGCGTGGAGAGAGCAGTGACCTGGTCAGGCACTGGGTGGACAGGGCCGGGGAGAGGGGTCCCCAAGCCCACCCACCCAGGTGGAGTCAAGCCCCCGATGCTATCTCGATGGGTGGGTGGGGGTGCTGAGGAGCAAAGACAGGGCAGTGGAGCCCCCTGCTGTCCCGGCACAGCCTGCCTGCAGCTCTGAGGCCCGACAGGCCCACAGAGAAGTCCCTGGCTGCACATCCTGAAGAGGCTGGGTGACCAAGAGGCCAGCCACTCGAGGAGCAGAGTGGCTGTGAGCTGGTGGGGGCCTAGCATCCTGCCCCGGGGGGGGGGTCTCTGAGGGAGGCTGGCTGCAGTGTTGGGAGGGCTCTGGGTTCATTTCCCCAGTGGCCCTGTCCCCAGGGTTGCTGGGCTGATCACCCTCTTGCTGGTCTACCTCTGTCCGCTCTGATTCGAGGTGCGAGGAGGGAGGGCTGAGGGAGGGTCTTCACAGGTGGGCGATGGGCTGGCAGGAGCAGGCCAATGATTGGGAGGGTCCCCAGGGTGCTGATGGCATCCTCCCTGGGCCCCCACAGGGGCAGGCCCAGGACATGTGTGAGGTGAGAGCCCGGGTCACCCTCCCCCTGGCATCTGGTCCCCAGCCCACCTACATCTGGTCCACCCTCCCCCGGGCACCCCGTCCCCAGCCTACCTACCTTCTTGGGTGATCCTTCCCCGGACACCTGGTCCCCAGCCCACCTACCTTCTGGCAGCTCTCTAGGAACTCGTCAATGGTCACCACCCCATCCTGGTTCCGGTCCATTTTCTGAAACCCAAGTCATATCCGAGGTGAGTCTGTCCCCCACCAGGGACAGCCCTTGACCCAGCCTGAGGGAGCCATGGCAGGGGGGTGGAAGCCCCCTGCACCCCAGTGTGTTCCTGTACCCCTGCCCTGGGTGTGTCTGTTGTCCACCCCAGGGCTGGCCTTTCCAGCGTCTGACACCTGCGTGCTCCACTGCTTCCGGAAGACCCACCTGGGCTTCTGCCTCCCTCATTCTCCCTGCTCACCTGGGCCTCACCCCCCAGTGCACTCAGGGCAGAGGAAGCGACAGGACCCAGAATGGCGAGGGTCTAGAAGCCCCTGTGAGTGGGAGCCAGGGCCTGCAGCGCCTTTTGCCACGTGGGCCCCAAGGCCACCGTCTGCCAGGTTCCTTCGGGAGTTGCTGGAAGTGCTCCCACAAGGTGCCAGAGCATGGTGGGCACGTCGGCTGTCCCACAAGCCCCAGCCCAGCCTGCCTGAGATGAGGCTCCGTGGGGCAGTTCTTCAGGGAACAGTGACCACTAGCCAACTAGGGAGTCAAGCTGGACACCCCTGGGGGAGTGGGAAGGCCCAGCGAGGGCAGGAGGGTGGCCCCGGGATGCCCTGGGGCAAGTTGGGCTCTCTCCGCTGGGCTCCCTCCCCTGGTGCCAGGGCAGGCGCCGCCCACCTGGAAGAACCGCTCCACGTGCTCCAGAGGCGCATCTTCCCGCAAGATGGGGTAGGTGTGGCGGCCCATCATGTCATAGATGGACTTCATGATGGCCAGCATTTCCTGGGAGGCAGGGCACAGAAGGGCTGGCATGAGCCGGTGTGGGTACCCAGCGGCTCTGAGGACCCCAGGAGAAGGGGCTGTTTCAAAGGACAGTTACCACCTCTAGTGGGTGGTGAAGGACCAAGAGAGACCCTGAGAGCCACAGAGAGACCAGCTCACCCTCATGGTCACCCAGCACCAGCTTCTGACTCTCTGAGAGGTTTGACAGAGATTGTCATTTGCCACTCTGGAAGCTAGACACTGTATCAACTACTTCAGATACAAAAAAAAAAAAAAGGTATTGCGTTTATCTACAACTAAAAAAAAAAAAGTTTTTATTTATTTATTTTTAAGGTCTGGTCCTGTCTACACTTCTACCTTAAGAGACCACACTGACCCTCTCTCTTGGGAGGGGCCAAGGCCAAGTCCCCTACGTCTGCCCTGACCCTCTCTGTAGCAAAGATGACCAAGAACGCGTATTGGGCTGAATCGAGAAGTGTGGTAGAAGCCGCACTGTATGCCCAGGCGTCCAGGACTGAATGGGGGACAGGAGGGCCACCCATGGAGAGCCACCAGGAGAAAGGGTGGAAAGAGCAGTCTGGTGGGGAGTGGTGATGGGGACGAGGGCAGAGGGCCTGGCCCGCCACCAGGTACCTCCTTGGTGATGTAGCCATCCTTGTTAATGTCATAGAGGTTGAAGGCCCACTTGAGCTTCTCATGTACCGTCCCTCGCAGCAGGATGGAGAGCCCGACCACGAAGTCCTGCAGAGGAGAGGAGGGCCACGAGTGACCACCCAAACCCCGTTCCTTCTCCTGTTCACTGGGAAGCTCTTCTGCAGGGGTGGTGTCCATGAGAGTGGGGAGGACGCCGTCCCTCTTGGTTGACATGTGTGAGCACATGTGCCTATACCAGCGGGGCCTGTGTCCTCCGCCTGGGTGCTGCCATCGCCTGTGGGGCAGGACCCAGGAAGCATTACTAAGGTGACAGACATGATTGTTCACACAGCTTCCATGTGCAAACACCAACTGGTTATGGCAGCTGACAGGGGGCACGTCTTTGCGCCCACCTTCTGCAAGGTTAGAAGGCTGAGCCCCCTGCCCCTCTGGGGCTGCTCAAAATAAAGGGGTTCTGCCTGGGGAATGGGGGTGCAGGTGGCTAACTGCAGCGCATCAGAGGACTCAGTCCCCACTCAAGTGTCAGATTTTCTGGGTTTGAGAAAGCCTGTTCCACCAGAGGGAAAAACTAAGGGGAACAGAGGAAAAGAATTTGGATGAACAACGATGATTATAGGAGAAAAAAATTAACAAAAGCCTCCAGATTCAGAGTATAGAAATCTTGCCTCCCTAAAATAAGAACAGGGTGCTATTGGAAAAAAAAAGAGGTATAATTGGAAACAAGAAAGAGCTCTTGGGAATTAAAAATAAGAAAGCAAGATGACAGACTCAGAAGGAGGTTGGAAGGGCCAGTGGGGCCTTCCAGAAAGAGCTGGAAAACAGAAAGGAGGACTGCGAGGGCCCCCCTGGGAGAACCAGAGGGTCCAGAGCTGGGGGGCTTCCGAGGAACCGAAGCACCACGGAGACCCCCCTTCAAACCTCAAGTCTTGTGGCCAAGTCAGAAGGATTTCAGACGTGTCACTCAGAGTGATAGGCATGAGTTTATGGATGAGATAGGGAAAAGGACAAGGGACCCCCTGAAGGGAGAGGGTGGGTCCTCTTGTTAGTGGACAGGCAGATGTGAGTGGTGGAAACTGAGGTTACAAGAATAATTCTGTACAGTGGCCCCACTGTACTGACCCCCACATGATTTCTTTTCCAAGAAGCAATTTACCTGCAGTTCTGCCTGACCTCAAGAGGAATCCACCTTACCCTGAAGGGGGGACTTTTGTGACCAGATCCTGAAACTCTGGGAGATAAGGATAGTTCCTCCTGGCCATAAAATCTGTAAGAATGTATGGTTAAGAATCCAATTAGAACCGCTCAGCATGGGCCAAGGTGACCTAGAGATGCCATGACCGTGGGAACTTGAAAGTCTGATGTCACCCTGCTGTCAGTCAAAAGCCAAGAGGTAGACCTGGACAGAACTTCCTGGAACTTCTCTGGGATCCCCAATAAAACTGGAGTTTGGGAGAGGCACACTGTCCCTCTCCACTCTGAGAGGACCCACCCACTCTCTCCCTTGAGGGTGTCCCCTTTCGCTTTTCCTATCCCTTTAGTAAACTCATGCCTGTCACTCTGAGTGACATGTCTGAAATTTCTCTGACTTGGTTGCAAGACTTGGGGTTTGCAGTGGGGTCTTTGCAGTGCCTCAGTTTCTCCAAAGGCCCCAGCTCTGTAACAAAAGGAAAGAGCGACACGGGTCAAAGAGATCAGGAAAGAAGATGGTCAGGAGGAAGTCTGTGGGTCCCTGTGAGGCTCTGCTGGGTGTGGCATTCACATCACTGGGTGAAGCGGAGCCTGCACCCAGTGCCGGCTGTAGCCTGCTGGAGAGTAGGGAGTGGGGTGCATGGCCTGGGAAGGCCTGGCTGTCCACCCCCCACAGAGGACCAGGACTCACCTCTGAACCAGAGGGTCAGGAGGAGCTGCCCAGCATGCCACGGCGGACGACAGGCTCAAACAGGACGAGGCGGTTCCCAGCACACACCCTCCTGGGACCCACAAGCTCTGCCATGGGAGGCCACGGTGTGGGGCCTGCTCAGCAGCCATGCTTCTAAGGTGGGCCCCGGGGGCACCAGCACCACCTTCTGCCATGGCCCGCTGCTAACAACCAAGAAGTGTGCCTACCTGTGTCCCTTAGGGGTGACAGTACTAGGAGATGGAGGTGGCAATGTCCTTTGCCAGGCTACTGGTGGGCCTCATTTGTAAAGGAAATACGCAGGTGATCCTGAGTGTGGCTAGCCCAGGTCTGGGCATGTTATGGTTTGGATGTGAGGTGTCCCCGAAAAGCTCATGTGTGACAAAATGCAAGAAGGTCCAGAGGAGGAGTGACTGGGTTGTGAGAGTCTTCATCCAATCTGTGAATTAATTCCGATAGGGATTAGCTGAGTGGTAACTGAAGGCAGGTGGGGTGTGGCTGGAGGAGGTGGCATTGGGGTGTGGCTTCGGGGTATATATTTGTATCTGGTGGGTGGAGTCTCTCTGTTTCCTGATCACCACGTGAGCCTCTTCCCTCTGCCACACTCTCCCGCCATGAAGTTCAGCCTCACACCAGCCCTGAGGAATGGAGCCAGCCTTCTATGGACTGAGACCTCTGAAGCCGTGAGCCCTTAAATAAACTCTTCCTCCTCTACCGTCGTGCTGGCCGGGTCCTTTAGTCACAGCAGCGGAAAAGCTGACTCAGAGTGCATTGCTGTTCTAAAGTTCAGGGCCACACAGCACAGTTTCTCATCTTCAGTTATAACTCCTTGTTCTGGTCACCAACACCCAGGAATCCTGTCATATCACAGCTCCTGCTCTGCCACTGTCTCTGAGGCCATGTCCAGGGAGGTGCAGGGCTCCTATGGTGTCCCCTAGACCCAGGGGACACAGGAGGGTGCGTGGCAGAGCCCAGGGCAGGTGCTTGGCTGGCAGTGGGGGGCCAAGGGTGACTATCGGGGTGGCTGGCTGCCCTCATCAATGACACTCATCATGACCAGGGATGCCCAGCCTGGCTGATGGCGTGGTTTACTGCAGGGGTGGGAACAGAGAGGTGCCCATGCCTTCCAGGTGGGTCCTGGCCAGAACTTTCCAAAGGCACAGCTCAGCCAAGGCCACATCCACCCTCGGTGGCCCGCCTGTATCCTGGGTACCGAGAAGCAACAGCTAAGAAGAACTGTTTAGAAAGCTCTGTGCCTCTCTGGCCAGGTGAACCAGCTGAGTTAGAAAGGCCCGGATGATGCGGAGGGTGGAAGGGAGGCCCACACCAGGCTCCCTGCTGCTGGGACCGGAGCAGGTGCCAGACCCCGAGGCGGGGAAGGGGACTATATCTGAGGTTTGCTGGCTCTGAGGTTTCTTTCCTTTTTTGGTGTTCATTTTGGGGAAGGCAGAGAAGTTACACTATTTCATTATCCCAGTAAATTGTAATGAATGTGTGTCTTATCCCCAAGCACACTCAGAAAGGATGGGGGTCATCGTAAGTATTGATAAGCTGACTTGACTTTCCATTTTAGGGGTGCATGGAAGGTTCTGGAAGCCTGGAAGTGAGGAGGGCCACGTGCCCTCTCCTTCTTTGAACACGGCTTCCTGGGGGTGAGCACTGACATCAAGAGGCTCCTGGGGGGTTCCACATGAAGCCAGGGAAATGCATTTCATCCGCAGAGACGTGCATGGAACCCTCAAAAAGACACCAGGAGGACGGCCTTCTACAGTGCCCAGCAGGATGGCTTCCGCACCAGCTCCGTCTCAGCCTCTGACAGACCACCTCCCACAAAGACTGCCTCCAAGGACCCCAGACCTCCCTGGGGGGAGGGTGGCCATGACCCTCCTGAGCATTCCCCAGCACAGGGCCCTGCTAAGCCGTTCCATTCTGAACAAGAAAACCGCGCCCTGCCACGCCTGGCTGGGCCCTGGCTCTGGACTCTCTCTTCCTCTGCTTTTCCTTCAGAGGTCCCCGCTGCCTCTGAGAGGCCACGTGGGAAACTGGCCACCAGGGACGGGCAGGAGGAGACCAGGAACCCCCATCACTCTGACGCTGACTGGATCTTCCCTGTGCTGTGGCAGTGGTATTTGGGTGATACTGAAAATAAAGGAGACGCCAAGGCCGGGTGCCACACAGGCCGGGAGCCCTGCAAGTGCGGAGGTGGGGGGGGGGCTGGGGTCACAGAGCAAGGCCGAGGCCTGGGGCTGCCCCAGCCCATCTGTCCTGTGTGTCAGTGTGTGGCCGCACACAGTGTAAAAATAAACCAGGTGGTGCTATCGACGGGTTATTATTACCCCGAGCTTCTCTGCTGCTGGCAGTGGCGCCCTGGCCCTGGAAGCCGAGCTGGCTGGGATCGATCAGGCTGCCTCCTGCAAGGTGCTCCTCTCTGAAGAGGTTTCAGTGTTTCGCCTGCAGCTATTTTTAGGGGCTCAGGCTCCACAGTGAGGCCTCTCTCAAATGATGCCCTGGTGGCCAGGCCTGGGAGGAGCCCCTGGTGCAGAGCAGGCAAGGCCCCCTGGGGGACACTGTCTGTGGTGGTGGCGGGGCCTGGCTTCCCCTTGTCACACTGGGGAACCCTGGGCCTTGCTCTCAGCCTCCAGCTGGGAGGATGGCCTGGCGCCCACTCAGGCTGTTCTCGAGTGTTTCTGGCCTGCTTGTGCAGTAACTAGGAGCATGGCACCCGACGCCCAGCACCAGGACTCGGTCAGACCTGACCCCTTAACGTGCACGTTCACACGCATCACAGCCACTGCCCATGTAGGAGCAGCTGGGCAGAGCTGGCAGCCAACTCCTGGAATGGAGGGGAAGACTCAGAACAGGGGACCTGGGCAGCAAGGTCCAGCTCCCTGACCTTCTCTGTGTGTGGCACGGGCCAGCAGGGACCTACCTCGAAGCGGATGGCCCCGTTCCCATCGGCATCGAAGGCGTTGAAGAGAAAGTGTGCGTAGGTGGTGGCATCTGGGGAGAGCAAGGGTGAGGCTGGGTGGGGACGTTGGATGTCTGCAGGCCCACCCGCACCCTGGCCGCCCCAGGGAGGGGGTCCCAGCTTTGCCTGGGGCAGGAGACTCTTCAAAAGGGACAGAAGCAGTGCCAGTCCTCCAGAAGGCAACCAGTGGCACCAGGGTGTGGGTGGCAGCTGGAACTCCTTCCCGAGAATGGGATGGGGGCGGGGCTTTGGAGCAGCCCCGCCCACCTCGCCCCGGACTCACCTCCCTGAGGGAAGAACTGCGAGTAGATGAGTTTGAAGGTGTCCTCGTCCACCAGGCCCGTGGGACACTCCTGCAATGGGAAGTCACCCCCTCAGCCATCCTGGACAATCCCTGCTCCAGGCCAAGTCCACAGCGCCTGGTCTCTCCCTCCCCTGGAGGGCTGCACGCTGCCGAGGCCCTGCTGGCCCTGAGTGGGAGCTGCCCCCTCATGCCAAGCTGCTCCACATGTTCTGCTGAGGAGCACAGTGGCCGTCACAGCGTCCACTCTGGGGCCTGCCCACCCCAGGCAGCTATCCACAACACCCGAGCTCCGGAATGCCCCTGTAGTATCCCTATGCTTTGCAGAAGTTTCTAGGAGGTTCCCTGGGCCAGGGACCCTCCTGCTTGGATGGGGCTGGGCAGCCAGGCTCCTAGGGCCTCTCCACAGGAAGCACTCACGTTCTTGAAGCCCCGATAGAGTGACTGCAGCTCCTTCTTGGTGAACTTGGTCTGTGCCTGCAGCTGGTCCAGCCCCTCTGGCTGGTGGCGCACCGTGGACAGTTCCAGCTCACTGTCACTGCTATCTGGAAGGGACACAGACCCAGGAGGGAGAGACATGTGCTGTGGGCAGGTGCCAGGGCATGAGCTGAAACAGGGCATTGAGGGACTCTCCTTGAATGACACCTATGGTCACACAGGCTGTGCACTGAACAAATGGAGGGACTGTGATAGAATGGCATGCTTGGGGGTTGTGCCTCACAGCTTCTCTGCTCACTGACAGGGCCTCCCCGCCTGCCTCACCCTCAGGGTGCCCCCGCTCTCAGCCACACAGTGGGAGAGGCACCAATCAAGGGAGACAGGAGGAAAAAGACAGCAGACTAGGCAAGAGGAACCCTCGACCTTCAAGACCCTCTTCTTAGACCACCCTTCCTTGAGGCCCTCCCGACTTGCGGAGGAGTGGGGGTGCTGCTCATGGCCCACTGCGAGCTCACATGCTGCTATTTGGCCACATCTGGCACAGGGGTGTTATTCTCATTTGGGGAGGGGGCCAGAACTCCAGACCCATGGGGCAGGGACCAGACCTTTCCTTAAAAAAAGAAACCACAAGAAAACACGAACAACGGCTACTACCTTAGTGGGGAGAGGGAATTCTGAGCAGTCTTTACTATTCGTGTTTTTTTTTTTTTTAACATCTTCCTGATTTCTTTTGGTATGGTCACTTTTACAATAAAATAAAGCTGTGAACAAAAGAGCATTGTGCCCCCATGCCTTGTTGGACAGCAGGTTCACATGGGAATGTCACTGTCCCACTGCCAGGGAGGCACGGCCCCCAGGCAAAGCGTCTGCTTCCCCTGCACCATGCAGAATGGTGAGTCAGGCTTGTCTGCAGAGCCCATCCTGCTGTGCCCTGCAGGGGGCGCTCTTCAGGGGCTTCCCACACTGTTGGACCAGAGCCCAGGATGCCTCCCTGGGCTGGGCTCCTGAGCAGAGCTGCTCTGGGCTAGGCATGAAAGTACCCTGCTTCGTTTCCCTGGTCCATGCACAGTCCAGTCTCCAAGGCAACTACTTCCTGTCTTCCTTCTCTTTAGGTCTCCATCCTCCTCCCCATCTTTACCCTGAGATTGATCCCTACTTCATCAAGAAAACAAAAACCACAGAAGGAATTTCCCCAAGCTCCTGCCAGCACACCTGCCCACCTACCTGCACAGGGCCCAGACTCTGCTCTCCCTCTTCTGTCCCTGCGAAGGCAAACCCTCCTGCCTGGGCAGTGGGTCTCGGCTCCTGACCCACTCAACCGTAGGGCTCCAGCAATTCTCCCCACTTCCTCATCGTCTTTCCCTCCTCCTTTCCAGATCATCCCCATTATCAGATGGACATGTTGATAAGTCTGGCAATCCTTAGTCAAAGGGAGCCTAGGCAAACCGTGTAGCCAGCAAGTCCACTGTGGGTAGACACACACCAGAGGCTCTTCCCCAGCTACGGGGGTCTGTATAGGAAGCTCACAGCAACAGTCTTTTCCGGGGGCAGGTTGGAGACAGCTCAGTGGTCTATCAGAGCAAGATCAAAATGCAGAGGACCCAGGCCAGGGAGAGCAGGTGATCCCATGAGCACAGAGCAACACGTGGGTGGATGCCAAAACTAAGGTGTGTCCTTCCATTAACAGGCAGAGTCTTCAGATTGCATCAAAAAACAAAATCCTGCTATATGCTATCTACAAAAGGGATGCCCTTAATACGAAGATGCAGACTGTGGGTAAAAGGATCAAAAGCTGGACATTTCCTGATATACAAAATTCATTTCATCCAGAAGATGGAATAATCTGAAATATAATATAGTCGCCCAGTAACAGAGCTTTAAAATACCTGAAGCAAAAAACCTCAGAACTAAAAGGAGAAACAGATTACACCCTAACCATAGCTGCAGACTTTAACATCCTTTTTCAGTAAAGGGCACAAGTAAATATATGAAAGATTTAGAAGCTATTATCAACCAATTTGGCCTAATTGATATTTATAGAACAAACGTAAACTACACATTCTTTTTGAGAGCACATTCTGTGGTCATCAAGATACACCAGATGCAGGGAAATAAAACAGACTCTGACCACAATGGCAATAAGTTAAGTTCAAAACAAGATATTCAGACTATCTCAAATATTTGGAAATTTAAAAAAAATATATACTTCTAACTAACTCATAAGCCAGAGAAGAAAAACTGCAAGGTGAACTTTGAGTTGAATGATCATAAAAACACAGTATATCAAAATCCGCTGGGTGAAGCTAAAGCTGTGCTTAGAGGAAATGGCGTAGTTTTAAATTCCTTCACTGGAAAAGAAGATTGGCACAATCTTGGGGCTCCAGCAATTCTCCCTACACCTTGAGCTTCCAGAGCTAAGCTTTAAAATATAGAAAAACCAGAGCAAATTAAATTCAAAGTAAGTAGAATAAAGAACATAGTAACCATAAGGTTAGAAAACAATGAAGAAAGGGCTGGGGATGTGGCTCAAGTGGTAGCGCGCTTGCCTGGCAGGCATGGGGCGCTGGATTCGATCCTCAGCACCTCATACAAGTAAAATAAAGATGTTGTGTCCACCGAAAACTAAGAAATAAATATTAAAAAATTCTCTCTCTCTCTTAAAAAAAAAAAAGAAAAGAAAAGAAAACAGGCACACTCAGAGAGAAACCAATCAAGTCATCGAGAAATGCAGTGGGCAGGTCACAGACACCAGATCACAAAGGACTCATTTCCAGAATATATAATGAACTTCCTCCCATTTTTTAAATAGGCAAAAGACTAGGAACTTCACAAAAGAAGATATATAAAGGCCAATTAGCACAAGAAAAGTGCTGACACTGTCAATCAAAGGAGTAAATTAATCCAATTCAAAACACAAAAATGCCCAGTCATCTATAATTCTAAAAACACCAAACACCCGTGAGGATGTGAAGCAACTGGAACTCTCACATGCTGTTGATGGAAGTGTGAGATGGCACAACCCTCTGGAGAGCTACTTGGCAGTTTCCTACAAAGTTAAAACACACATCAACCTTGACCTACTTACACAAGGTAAGCAAAGATAAAGGGAAAATATTCTTCCACAAAAAAGACTTGTTCAAGAATACTGATAATAGCTCTATTCTTTTTTATATTTTGTCTTTATTATACTTTTTGGTGGTACTGAGGATTAAACCCTCCTGATCTACATCCCTAGCCATTTCTGTTTTTCATTTTGAGACAGGATCTCACTAAGTTGCTCAGGCTGATCTTGAACTTGCCATCCTTCTGCCTCAGCCTCCTTTCTTCCTTTTTTTTTTAATATTTATTTTTAGGTGTAGATGGACACAACGCAGTGTCTTTATTTTTTAATGTGTGGTGCTGAGGATCGAACCCGGGTCCCACCGGTGCTAGGCGAGTGCTCTACTGCTGATACTGCTGAGCCACAATCCCAGCCCTATTCTTTTCTTTCTTTCTTTTTTTTTGGTTGTTGATGGACCTTTACTTTTATTTATTTATTTATTTATTTATTTGGGGGGTGCTGAGGCTCGAACCCCATGCCTCATGCATGCTAGGCAAGCGCCCTACCACTGAGCCCTAGCCCCAGCCCAGCTTTATTCTCAACAGTCCCTAACATGGAAACGTGGCACATTTATCGTAATGGAACACTAGTCTCCATTTAAAAAAGAAGGGACCATTGATACATGTCACAATGTGGATGCCGCTCAAAAATATTGTGCCGGGGGAAAGATACCAGATGTGAAAGCGTTTACACCGGCGTGACTCCGTGTATACAAAGGCCTAGGGCAGGCAGCGCTAATGGCACTGTGATGGAAAGCAGCGCAGCAGGGGACGTGGGGGGGCACGCTCGTCCAAACTCAGGGGACTGAACTCAGGCCTCTGTGCATTTTGTTGCATGCAAATTAGACCCAAATTGACAAGAAAAGACTGAGGAGACTTCTGCTTTCGGTGGTGACAGGACGTGAGCGCAGACTTACCTTCCCACTGCAACCGACTTTAGAACTGGAAGAAATATGAGAGGAGAGTGTTTTCGGGGCTGGATGACGGCACAGGGCTGCGATCGTGGCCAGCAGGGAACTGAAGCGAGGTCCGCAGTCCCCTGGGACGTCTGCCTGGAGACAGTTTCCAGACCGTGGCACAGGGAGTGGGACGTGAGCTAAGGCGCAGCTGGTAAGGCTGGGAGGGGAGCTTGGGCTACTAAGGCAGGTGGAGTGTTCAGAGCAGCGTCCCGGGGAGGAGCGGCCACAGGAGTCTGGGTGGGCCTTCCCCTGGGGGTCTTGACCAAAGGCTGGGCTGCAGGATGAGACTCCACCAGGCCAGCAGAAGGTGGCTACTGGGACCGGGGAAGGTGGGATGAGGGGCACAGGGACATATGGGAAGTCATGCAGTGGTGGGACCAGTTGGGGAACTGGCTCAGGCAGAATGTCGATGCCCTACCTCAGGGGTCAAGATGAAATTCCAGAAAAGCTGTGCTTTAGGAGTGAGGACCCTGCCTGAGGAAGAGCATGCTCTACACCTAAGGGCAAAATAAATATGAACCGCCTCTGGGGAGAAAGCCTAAAATAAATTCTACAAAAATCAAGCAATCTGCCAGGCACATGGTGCACACCTGTAATCCCAGTGTCTCAGGAGGCTGAAGCAGGAGGATCACAAGTTCAAAGCCAGCCTCAGCAACTTAGTGAGGCCCTAAACAATTTAGCGAGACCCTGTCTCAAAAAAAGACACAAAAAGGGGCTAAGGGATGTGGCTTAGTAGTTAAGCGTCCCTGGGTTCAATCCCAGTACCAAAAAAAAAAAAAAAAAAATCAAGAAATCTGTCAGTAACTTCTTAAGTGTCTGTCAAAATTCAATAGATTTATATCAAGATATATAATTTAGACAACATAATTTCATAGGACATAACATTCATAATGTCCAACATAGAATAAAAAATTAAAAGACATGAGAAGCAGCAGGAAAATGTGATCATAATCAAAAGGTAAAGGAGTGAGCAGAATTAGTAGATTTTTATAATTGGACTTATTATTAGAATTACTAAAATGAGCTTTAAAACAAACATTACCACCATG